CATTCGTCCGCTCTTAGCTACGTCACAATTGGTTTATGGCTACCAGTGGCGGCCGGCGTTATTTTCTTTAGGGCATGATTTAGAACAGTAGTATGCTTCATCTTTGGTCAACTATAAAAAGTTTGTGCAGGAATTTTCTAGATTTTTTTATGAATAAAACGTAGGCAAATACAAAAAACTGAAATCGTCACGATACTTCTGAAAATATTCGATCTGTGTTGGAAAATCTATATACATCTTTTGTGTATTTCAACTTTACTGGGATTTCATGAATCTACTATTGAATAGATTTGTTAAAAGTTCGACTTTGTCTCTTTTTGTTACCCTATTTCAATAAATTCTTCCTTGAAGATTAAGATTCGCCCTAATCCACAATTAAATCAATTCAATAATCCACATAATTTATCGTCATATTAATCATCATATAAATATAAATAATATTTTATTGGGCTTCTTTTTCCATTGGCAAGTACGCATAATCTTTCCCAATATTTTTAGAAATTCTGCTCGATCGGGATTAAATGGGGCAATTATTATAAACCCAATGAGATAATTGATCACGAGATATGAATGACACGCATTCGTAACATAACTGGTAGTAGTAGTTGTGTTGTAACCATATTTACAATGTTCAATGGGTGTGTGTCAAGTTCATCGGAATGCACCAAGGCCTTGCTAAATATATGCAAGTTCCCATCTATTTTTATCGCATTAGTTCCACTTAGACAAAATAAATATTGTGGAGCACTTGTACTGAAAAATAAGGTAACTCAGCAAGTGTTTTTTGGAATATTCGTCCTTGTCATCTGTGAACTATATTACACCTATAGCACAGTTGTTATTTAATTATATTTTACAGAACGCTGAATGAATTCAGAAGTAAAGAGAATTGCTTATGGTTTCCTTTATGGTTAATTAAATGGCACCTCAAAAATTTGGTAACATAAAGGTGTTCAAATCCTTTTTGTAACTTACATCAATAGTAAAATACTTAAAGGAAACATTTGTTGCATCATCAAAAAAAAAATAATTGAAAATACTTGAATACTATTTACTCACATATATATACAATCGATCGCTTCAAAAACACTTCACTAACTTTCTCCGAAAGCTTCTGATAATTTCTCTTCCATATTCTCTGTTTCACTATCACCGTCGTTATATAAATCAATAATACATTTATTTCCACCATTAATATGGAAGTGTCTTCATATTATAGTCTTTTTCAACTAAAATTACTTTTTTTATCCTTTTCTGCCAGTCTTCTTCGGTAATATTAGATACTTCTTCCTTAACTAGCCCTATCACTTTCTTAACAAATTTTGAAAAATTATCTATATGCCTGATGCTTTGTTTCAATTTTCCCCAAATCAACTCGATGGGATTGAAAACACAAAAATAGGGGAAAGTCTCAGTATGGTGTGTCCATACTTTTCAGCAATACTCTCAAGGGCATACACTTTTTCAAATGTTTTTGTCTGTAAAACTACAAGTAGTTGGTTTTTGATGAAGTTATCTTCAAAATACAAATTGTTATCTGTTAAAAAACTTTGTATTTCATCTTTCCTCGAATTTTTATTCGGTACTTTGATGAGCTGTCGCGAATGATAGAAAGCGTTGTCAAGAACTATGACATTATTCGCATCCAAATTTGGGATCAATGTGTTTTCAAACCATTCCTCAAAAATATTAGCTAGCGTGTTCTTATGATACTCAACATTGCAGGGTTCAAAGAATTCGGAACCCATCCTTTACTTCCTCTGCAATGCACAATGATTAGTCGCGATCCTTTGTTTGCAGGCACGGTAGGCGTACACATTCTTGAACCATCAGTCCACCCTTTCGTAACTGTGTCGTGAGTGTCATACCAAGTTTCGTCCAAATAGTTCGTTGTTCTTGTCTATATTCAGTTATTTTCAGTTTATCCAATTCTGAAGAGTTTTGTCACAGCAGCTCACGTTATTGCCGGAAGTATTCAATTTCATCCTTATGATTTCAGTTGTAGGAATCTCATTGCTTTTGTAACAGTCGTATATGATTTTATTAAATGAACATCTAAAGGTTTTGGTAATCCCGTATCACATCGCGCCTTGCGTTCATAAGGTTTGTTTTTGACTAATTTACGTACTGTTGTGAAAGGGATTTCGGTCAAATCTGATGTTGCTTGAAATAGTTTGTTTCCCTCGAAACCAAAACTAGAGATGTAGATTCTTATATACATTGAAACATACTCTCTATGTTTCAATATTCAAATGCATCCGAATCTTTTTCACTGGTATCTCTTTTTCGCATTGTTCACCATGGCTATTGGAATCACTACACAGGAAAAAGTCTTCGTTATTAACACACTCGTTATTACTATTAGTACTTATCCAAGCCACATTTTAAACAGATAACAAACATTTTAAGTAATTATAACTGCACCAATATCGAATTTCAACACTCAAATCGTGAAAGTTCCTGAACTGAACACTGACGAAACAACGGCGACATTCAACGTGGACTAGTTGGCAGCGGCATTATTTCTCTGTATTGGTTTTTTTCGCTTTTGAGAGTGCCGCCAAATTCAAGTGTGCACAATATCGTTTACTTCGACTATACCAAGATACGCTGGGCGTTTCCCGAAGGCTTGTGTGACGTCATGAGATAAGTGCGATTGTCGGTGCATCGTACTGACATAGTTGCGTCGACAAAAGAATACACATGTGTTATTAATGAAATACGTGAAAAAATACAATCTTTCCCAGAGCAGCGTTTTCTTCTTCAAGTGGAAAATAATCGTTTGCACCTATTCAAAGCTTCCAATAATTTCAAAAAATAACTCTAAATATAACATTTATATTTATATGCAACTCTGAAATTCCCCAGAATATCAGCAATACCAGCACTGAAGTAATAAGATGATGGCCGGAGAGACGTAAAAACCCTGATTAGGTGATGATCAATTACGTCATTACAGATAAACCTATCTCGCCGAGTACGTCACACGTTTAACAAGCTTTAGATTTGTGTAAAGTAGTGAATATTAATCATTATAATATTATAATTAATTAATATTATAATATCAATATTATACAAAATAATATCCAATGTCTCAAGCAGTAATAAAAATACGCAACTCTTATCAGTGTAGTTGTAGGTAAAAATGACTCGCGTAAAATTCAGCTGTTTTCGCTGTTAAACTCCTTTTTATATTATGAAAACAAGCGTGTAGAAGCAACAAGCACCAAATTATTTAGGCAGGTATTTTTATTTTGGTGGTCATTTGATAATTTTGATTTGTCGTTTTCTCTGCTTCAATGGACAAATCGTCAGCATTNATTATTATTATTATTAAATCAAAATATGTTTGAATACTGTATCGAGCCGCTTTGAAATTAATCGAGTCCTAGGGACCTATGCTACTGTATTTCAAGCTGAAATCTGTGCTTCTGAATTATGTGCGGAGAGATTGGTATAATCCAACCTCATACACAAGTCAATTAAAAATTTTCTCGATCAGTCAAGCGGCATTGAAAACTCTTGGTTCCTACCGAGCAACGTATAAATTGGTAGCAAATTGCCAAAAACGACTCTCCTCAATAGGAAGACCATACTGGCGTGGAAGGCAATGAGGCTGCTGACTTCCTTGCAAAGAAGGGTGCTGCAAGCAGCTTCTTCGGACCAGAACCTGTCATTGGCATCGCTTTAGGTTTTGCCAAACAAACAATAAACACCTGGATGGCAAGAAGATTTAAGAACTTCTGGCAAAATCTTCCAGGATTGGCTCACTCCAAGGCGTTCATTCACACACAGTAGGAATGAACTGCGATGTCTAACAGGCCTTCTCACAGGTCACTGTCGTCTGAATCATCATATTTTGACTTCAGTCTGTCAGAAGACTGGGTGTGCCTGAAAGATCACTCACCATATAAACTAATCGGCTTCATTAAGAAGCTGGGATTATTTGGTTGAGTTTGAATATGTGTGAGCCATAATGAAACCTTGCGGGTTGCGGTGGAGAGTCAAATTGACCCACTCACTTTTGGCCAAACCTAACCTAACTCAGGCATTTTGCTTTTTATGTCGCATCTTTCGTGTGCTGATGAGAGGTATATAATACTTCGAAACCGGTCTCTAGGTGATCTACTTAAATAATTGCAGCATGGTCCTGCTGTTGGATGAACCATAACCATTTGCGAAACTAACTTCTGTAAGGTATCATGCATTAATGTCTGTCGGCTAATACCAGCGTGGTATTATCCGAGGAAGTAGTTGTTTTCCGGCAGGCATTCTCCAGAACCTACGGTGTATGTAGTTGAGAGAGATAAATATCAATTTATTTATATGCATGAATCTCTCCTTGATACAGTCGTTAAAGCTTGGGACTTTGTTCACCAGATGGTGCTGTTACTAGTTAACAATCTTCCTCTTAGACGAAGGTTCCATACATGCAATCGAGCCACGTTGAAATGAATCCAGTCCCAGACATTAAACCGTTTGGGTTGGATCTATAGGTGATCTATTCGACCGATTTCAGCATGATCCTATTGCTGGATAAACGATAAACATCTACGAGACTAACCTCTGTGACTTATCTTGCGTGAATGTCTGTCGGATATAATTACATATCNATGGAGCAAACAATTGTCTGTCTGATTTTACAAACATCAGTATCTGGCGTGGTATTAGTCTAGGAAGTAGTTGTTTTTCGGCAGGCATTTACTGGAACCTAAGGTGTAGGTAGTTGGGATAGGTGAATATTTCGATATTTTATTTCCAAATATTCATTTCCCTATATTATTACACCCATATTTCCAAAATATGAGCCCATCAAAATAGTGCCTTCATTTAAATATACACCCTCTTTTGTATTTGGTAATCAATAATGATTCAAATCGATTACTGTTCGAATTACTCAGTTCCAACACCCCGATTAGGGATTATTCATCAGGTTTCAAACCAAGATAGTGTGCAGATATATGATGAGAGTAGTTCGGTCGTAAGCTAGAGTCAACACTGTTCAGTGTTAGTGACATACCCAAAAAATAAAGATATGTTACAGGCAATACAGAGGTGATGAAAGATAATCAGGTTAGTGAAATCCACTTTCATATTTTATGAGCTGATACAGTTGTGTCAACGATTATATTATAATTTCTGTCCTCTTATGATAAACTCTACTGAAAATTATACGTAGAGGTATTCCTGTATTTCTATGGTGACGTTTTAAACGGCCCACAGACAATGATCGTTCAAATCGTAAACGTAGAATGCTTTTCCCAATGACGTGAAAAGATTCCAAGCAATCGGTTTTTCAAATTAAGTATATTCCAGTCCGAGATTCAGTGCATACGAGGTCTGTCAAAAAAATAAGGTGAATTTTCATTTCTCTCAAAAAAAATTCATTTATTCATTAGTTTCTATGCACTTTTTGATACGTCTTTGAGCTCTCAGCGATTTGAGTTTCATCTACTCGATCGTCGCAAAACGCCATTGGTGTGAAAAGCTGTACCACATGTAAAAATTTTTCTGACTCAAGAGTACAATCACCGTATGCCACTGTTAACATTTCAAGTGTGACCATATGTTCGAGACGCAATATGTTCAACGCAATTGCAACCTTTCTTTATCACACGTGTGGCATTGGTTCGTCAGATATTAGTTTGCAATGTATAATGCGTTTTAAATGCTATTTATTTACGTATTTCATAAATGTTAATATCGTATCCGTCTAAATAGCTTGCCATTATTTGTGATCATTATTTCAATTGTTAAAAATGCGTATAGTAAGCTATAGACATATGAAACCGCGGATTTTTTGCAGACCTATAAATGAAGAACAATTTGTAGTGAATTGTTTTGTTATATCTGAAAGGGATTAAACAGTGTTTTCGATTTCGTTCGGTAGATTTTGAGTTTATCGCGTTCAGACAGACCAAACAGACAGATACAGAGAATGACTTGAATTTTTAAGTGTGTAACGTGAAATTAATGTTTCCATTATGAAAATTGTTTTTATATATTTTTGCCGAAGAGAGAGACATCGTCAATTTTGCATACGGGCACCGAAGCGACTAGCGCTGGACACGAGTTTCGTTATTGAGGCTGTCAAAACAGCCCCTATTTCAGATGAAGAATTAGGTTGAAGCCTGAAATAAATATAGAGTGAATATGGTGCACGTTACAACATAATGTGCATAATGCTGGCAACTAACCAAATGAAATAAAATACAGAGAGCCGTAAAGTATTGAGTGAAGCACTGCCGCACCAGAAGGAAACTAGAAGAAGCGTGCACCTCTTCTCCACGAATCAGGAGTTTTGAAATAGATATTTTTGAACTGGAAATTACGATATTTTGAATGGGTTAAAAATGAATAAAGTGGGTCTCACCATTGATCGGCCATCGTCTCATACGATATCTCAAAAGTCTGAACGTAGATCGGACTATAGGTACGCAGGAAGCGCCCATCGAAATAGTAAACTAGGTTAGGTTAGGTTAAGTCAAAAGTGAGTGGTAAGAGTGCGGCTCTGCCAAACTCTGAACACCTGATTCGGTGCGGGGCGGGGCATCATCATCATTATTGTGAGTTATCCCTTAGAGATAGACATTTAGCATCGCGGACTTTTTTGTATACCTTTTAAAGGCGTACAATACTGTAGTACCTTATTTTGATCTATGTCGTAGGGTTCAGCCAGCGTTTACAATGTAAACATATAACCTTCTTCTTGAATCTCTTACCTATTGTTGTAAATCATGCCCAAAAGAAAATAACGCCGGCCGCCACTGGTAGCCATAAACCAATGGTGACGTAGCTAAGACCGCGCGAATGTGCGATGTTCCCTTCCACTCTAGAAGCAGCGAGAATAAAGCTACTTCAGCGAAATTTCTACGGCATTCGATTATGATATTTAAACGCTAGCCGCGAGCATATCGACACAGTGAAGTGGAAGATACAGGGCGGTAGGCGAAGTAGCTTAGTAAGGCCATAGACATTCAAATAGTAGTTGAAGTTTTAGTTGAAGTGTTTGTTGTATTTGAAGTGAAATAAAGTTAAGTTTGATTATTCAGTGTAGTCAATTATTAGTCAACCCACAGGTAAAAACGTAACACTATTATGACTGTCATAATGATCTCCTGAGGACGCTAACTTGGTTAGCGAAACGCGTGTTGGGAAAGTGTTTTCAATAGATTCATTTTACGCCAGAGGTTCCAATACGAACTATCAAATCCATATCGATCATTTGCAATACAAACAGAATGAAAAAAAGGGTTTCATGTTCAATGTTCATATACAAGTAGTTATTTCGAATAGAATTTTTTCTTTCGTGTAATTCAATGTTTATAGGAAAGTAGTTATTTCGAGAGTGTTTTTTCTTCCTGTTTGTGTCTGATATACACATCTTTGTGAAGAGTTTATTTTTTCTTTCTTCTCTCCTAAAAATATAACCCTTTCAATTCGTAAAAAAGTTATATTCAAACGAACCTTTTCCTACAACATAGCAATTTGTGGAAAACGTTACATTGTCTAACGATACCAATATCATTGAATTATGGTTAAAGTTTACCGTATCAATATGTGATTGTATTTATTACCTTTTCAAATGACTGGGAAAATTGGCTGGAAAGCCTAAAGATTGCTATTGTTTAGCGAAACACGTGGTGCGTTTTTGTAAAATTGTTCAGAGAAAATCTCACATTAAACTTGACTTGAATACGTTATGGATTTTCATCGGCCGATTTAATCACATATCCTGTTATTTACCTACACGATACACATATGAAATTATTTTGTATATTAGTGAATAATGAATGTATGTTTGCGGGGGTAAATTCAAGGCACATGCTCGAAAAAATAGTGATTGGAAATGTAATTATTTCTTTGTAGACCCCTGAAGATGAATTTAATATTTTTCGAAAAGTTTCTACGTGTCTGCTGACTATAATTAAATTCAAGAGGTTTGGAGAACCTAAGCACCACGTCACTTGTCTTATATCGATACATCATACCTGCCAACATGAATAATTTATGATTTTCCTGTGCCTACCAATGTATTCCCGCCTAGATGTGGTTCTTTGCTGTGGATGCTAGTGGTTACCTACTTTATTTGAAAATGGAATCAGTCTCAATTTCGAATCGCCTCGTACAAAGGAGGAACCTTCAACGTAATTAACCACATAATTTTGTTAAATTGCCAGGTTATTTCTATCTGCGATTACAAACCATTAAAATTATTATAATATATTCATTTTATCAAATTCATCACATCCGAAAAGCCCCTGTATATAAATTGCAATAGCACGCTGCCAGAGAAATCCCGAGAAAAGTAGATGACTTGAACGTTTCGCATTAATATTCCTGGATGTGTAATAACGAATTTCAGGAATGCACAAGCGCAAAATGCACCGAGAAATTCAGCTGATGCAATCTTCAAGTTGTTGCATGGGAATAGAACAATGTTTTCCTCATTCCGGTAGGTTAACATTTTAAAGTTAAAATACCCACCGAATTAATAATTTAAATTTATTTCTGCTTCAAAGAAGGCAATTATGAATTAGAACTACCTACCTATTATAGACAGGTTATGTTATTGTTTATTTTTAGATACTGTGCACAACAATTTTCCCAGAAAAATAACTACGTAATGAATTAAAGTTGTTTTTCAGTGTCTGTTTCATTCTCGAAAAGCTTCATTAGATTACTGATATTTTAGGAAAGCACATGTTCAAAATATGTGCTCACTCCTACTTCTGCTGCACTTCTGACAAATAATTAGGAGGCACCTCAGATGATTTTCATAATGAGTAAACACCACTTTCACACTTCATTTGTTCTATTTTCATGATGAGTCAACAACATCTATTAATCTACTGTTTGTAAATAGACAAAAAAGCATTTTTTAATTTGTCAAGATATTGCATCATCCTAGAGATTGCACTGCGAGAGTCTGCAGGAATCATATTGGACTGCATATGGGTCTCAGACAGTGACATTGACAATTACATAAGAGTTTTCATGAATGTGGCCATCGAAATCCAATTATGCATTACGTAGGTACCTACCTATATACTTATTAATCCACTCACAGCTTAAATTGCTGAGGCAAGAAATGGGAAAAAATAAAACAGAAAGAAACGCAACCGCTTATAATTTTTGTTAGAACACGCTTGTTAACAAATCGTTAAAAAAGCTGTTACATCCAAAAACCACTTCTTCCAAATTAACCTGAAATTGATATTGTCCAGCTCCTGGCAGAATACTTTAGGTAAAAAAGGGTAAAAAAAATGGTGTAATTATTACTGAATGAAATTAACCTACAACGAAACAAAAAAAGGGTTTCGAGTCCATTGTCAAAACTACAGTATGACACAATTTACCTTCCAGTGGGTGATAAGTTTCTCAAACGAAAGGAATTTTTGAACATGGGTTATATTTATTTAAAAAACAAATGAAGCAAGTTTTAATTCATAAAAAAACTCACCGTTCACTGAAATTTGACAAACGAGATGTTTCCCAGCACTGACCAGAGACACCAGACCGCACAACCTGCCTGCTCGAACCGACAGACGAAAGTAGAATATCGAAGCCAAAGCCACGCGAATAGTCTGCTCAAGGCAAAAAGATATGCGCTGTACCGCCAATTTTGTGTGCGACTGCTGTATTAGTAGTGGAACGAACTATGATAAAAAATTAAAAGGAATATGTAAAATTTTTTATTGATCAGCTAGGAATGGTTATTGTTAATTGACAAAAAAATGAGCGAAATTAAAAGCCACTCTTTCGGTCTTTCGTCACCAGGTCCGGCCGGAGGACAAATTTTCAGGCACGAGATGGAATAATTTGGTGCTCCTTAAATTCTCAATATCCTTATCGAATAAATTATTCTCGGTATCGTTATTAACTAACGAGTCATCGAATAACATAATTTTCAGGACAAAATATTATCAAACACAGCTGTTGTTTGTACGACTTACTTTTTTTTAATTTCAAATATTAATTGGAATCGTTGGAAATATTTCATGTATTTTTCTAATTGAAACTGACTTACACATAATAAATCCATCAAATATATTAATTAGAGTTCATTTAAT